ATGTCTTTACATAGTATATCCATACTATTTCTCTTTGATCCAATTCATATTGCTTTTGTCTTATCAATGTTTAAGTCATGACATTTTATAAAAGCATGAATTTCATCAATAGCAGCCTTTAAGCTGTGTTTATTCCCATCAAGAAATAGTTCCGTATCATCTGCATATTGGTTTGATTTATACTCATTATTGCCAATAGCAATACCTTTTATGTTCTCATTACTTCTAATCATACAGCCAAGTTTTTTCAGCAACAAAATAAAGAGGTACGGTGACAGAGGGTCACCTTGCCTGCATCCGCGTTCATTTACGGTTTACCATATTGGATGACACTGGATGTTGTTTCATATGTCAGTATATTTATCCAATGAGTGATTTCAAGACCAAAACCAAATTTAGCTTAAAACATTATTCAAGAACTCTTTGCATACTGTATCGAAAACCTTCTCAAAATCTATTACGAGAATTAGTCCTGGCATATTTCTTTTATTAGTTTCAAACATTATATCATAAAATAATCTTGTGTTTTCACTAAGAGTTCTACCTGGAATAAAGCCTGTTTGATTAGCATGTACTAGAGAATTCAAGGTTTTGTTTACACGGTTAGTGATACAAGTGCTAATAAGTTTATAAAGTGCATCCAATAAAGTAATAGGTCTCCAGGTTCTCAAAAGTGTTTTATCTCCGTTCGCTTTAGGTATGCAAGTTATTACACTTCTTTTCATGGTTATAGACAATTCCGGAGCTTTTGTTATTTTTCATATTCTTAATTGCATAGGAAATTTCATTCATATCAATCTCTTTTTCCAAATCTTAATTCATCATTAAGGGTTGGGGTTACAATGTGATCTAGGGGGATAAAGTCTTTTTCGTCTTATTTATCAGCAGAAAAAAGATTTTTACAGAAGATTTTACCAGAGCAGTCTATTTCCCATTGATATTCCTCTCTGTTCAAGCACAGTTTTGTGTTTTGAAAGTTCAACCAGCAAATTAACACTAATGTTCTGAAAATCTCTTCTTAAACCTCTTCATCAGTTCTATTCTTTTTACGTTTTTAAAGATGTGTAGAATAGGATATACTCGTACCTCTTCGTACCCTCAAAGGGGGTTGAAGTATTGTAAAATTATTGTCCTCCTGAGAGGGTACGTAAGTCCCAAAGCATTCAAGGTAGTTTCATACCTACTATTATTTCTAATCGTAGTATATATGTTCTTTTGATAATAGCTAGATTGTCAAAAATTGCTGACAGCTGAAGGGATGATGTAAATCCAGCTAGGGTCTATGCAAGTAGCAAAAGTAATGTACGTCCCCATGGTCCCCAGTATGTTTTTATTAGGGCTCCTTGCCTCTAGGCAGGAGACCTATTGTAATCGTTCGGATTATTATTATTATTTATTATTCCGCCGATTTTTGTACCAAACATAACTCCTAAACCAATGCTCCGAATCGCTTACAAAAATCACCCAGGTGTAGATATTCCCTTTAAAAATCTCTAGGCTCTTGGCCCAATAGCAGAGGGGAAATAATTCAAAATTAATTCCAAAATTTCAACGTTTGACAGCAAATATCTCGAGAACTAATTGTTCCAACACTTCCAAATTCCTTGTACAGATGCACAATCGAATTCCCAACAATTTTGCCTGGAAGGGTCAAGTCGCTAAAATGTACCGATTGGCAGTTATTTTTGTTTTCAGTTTTTGGCCATGTTTTTCAGCACTTTTCTGAGTAGTTTGCTCCCAAAATGCAAATATGCCAGTATGGTAGATGATGTCCTGGTGATTCCAGAACACTAATTGTTTTGAACGTAGATCCAAGAACAACTGAGATACAACCTTTTAAAGAGGGAACTATTTCTTCTCCGGAACAATTTAAAAGTACATGACCCCCGTGACCCCGGCTGTATTTGGACGATCCGCTCGCCTGTCAAAACATGTGTTCTGGCTACGTTTTGGACGATGATATCTAGCCCTCAGATACAATAGATAGAAAGTAAAGCCAAGGAGACCTCATCGTTGCCCGCCACTATATTTATTTACATGTATTTATGGTGAATTCAAAACTTTTTTATAGTCACGATATGGCTGAAATATTGCCGATGTGACTTAAAACCCTAACTCGCTCACTCACTCTTACTTCTTATTTTCATTAGTAGGGCTTCTAGAAATAAGCTATTCATTAATGGCTTCTTTTGTTGTATTTTTAACTTTTTTCATAATCTGGGTATAGAAGCAAGGAATTATTAAACTTCCAATAACCTCTCCCTCTTTCTTGGTTAATAGAGTTTGAAATAGTATAATGATCAGATTGATATCCTGGCAAAATATTGGAATTCAAGGTTAGGTCACAATTGTCTTGTGAAATGATGAAAAAAATATTGTTTCAAGCAACGACGTGGGCTCCTTGGCTTTAGTTCTATCTATTGTATTTGAGGGCAAGAAATCATCGTCCAAAACGGAGCCAGAACACGTTTTAACTGGCGAGCGGATCTTCCAAATACAGCCGGGGTCTCGGGGGTCATGTACCTTTTTAAGAAGTTCTGGAGAAGAAATTGTTCCCTCTTTAAAAGGCTGTATCTCAGTTGTTCTTGGGTCTGTGCAGAATTTCCACAATGGTTACTTGATATCAGTTGTGGAAAGTTTGGATTGTCTAGAGCTGATGGTTCGAGCTCAGCACATTTTGGGAGCAAACTACTCAGAAAAGTGCTGAAAAACATGGCCAAAAACTGAAAACAAAAATAACTGCCAAACGGTACATTTTAGCGACTTGACCCGTCCAGGCAAAATTGTTGGGAATTCGATTGTGCATCTGTACAAGAGATTTGGAAGTGTTGGAAGAATTAGTTCTTGAGATATTTGCTGTCAAACTTTGAAATTTTGGAATTAATTTGAATTATCTCCCCTTTGCTATTGGGCCTAGAGCCTAGAGATTTTTAAGGGAATATCTTCACCTCGGTGGGCATCTGTGTGATATTTTATAAGCGATTCGGAGCATTGTTTTAGGAGTTATGTTTGGTACAAATATCGGCGGAATAATAATAAATATTAATAATAATAATAATAACCCGAACGATTATAATAGGTCTCCTACCTAGAGGCAAGGAGCCCTAAATACTTATCTAGCTTGTTGCTTTGTATTTGTTCCACCACGTATATTTCTTTTCAGGTTTTATTTCATAAGACTTATACATGTATCAGTTAAATGGTTGCACGACTCCAGCTATCATTGTAGGTGTTGCAGCTGTGACTATAGACAGAAATATACTCCTTGAGTATGAATATTGTAAACATCTGAAAATTTTGTCGCTTTCATTGTGCTTAATATTTACACATACGTTCAAGTCAACAGGTGATCTACATTCCATCATGCATTAATACCGCACGAGATGAGAACCTGTAAATAAGCGAATCTTGTACCACACAATCAAGTGACTGATAATGTGAGCGTTCCAAATATTTGCGGTCAATGAAATTAGTTTAACGTGAACGATCTCGCGCATGGCGTTTCATGTATTTGCGGTCAATGAAATGAGTTTATTAATGTGACGATTGGCATGATCGCATCCAGGTGTATGTACTAAACAAACTATAGCATCACGCTGTGAATAGAGAAAAATGTATGTATTGTATTGAATTTAATCAAATATATTAGGTGATATTGGGTACAAAATAGATTATATTTCCGTACTTATTGTTACGCAAAGTTTTTATGACCAAATTGTTTAGCAGTCAGCTCAGTGAACATTTACTGTTTAACATGTGATGACAATTTTTCTGGTTTTCGTTGCTTTGAATTAACTTGCTAACCATACCGATTACTCTGTGCAGTATAGGTGAAAGCGTGTCGGTGTACGGAGCCGGATGTAGCTAGGGATGCTGGGTGTATTAAATGGCGCATGATCCAAACATGACGTGTTGTGTCATTGGTGCGAAGGAGAGTGAATTATCCGACTCCCGTGGGTGCTAACATGGTGTCAGAAGTGTGAGCGTTCGCCCACAGGATCCAGCAGAGATAACTGTGGGTTATTTTGGTACGTGCCAGTGAGAAGTCTTTATTAACAAAGAACCTTTGTGACGGTCATGGTCTGGGGCACAGATATTGTGTGTGTTTCTAATGTTAAACGAGTCACATTGAATTCGTTGCTATAATGTTCAATCTTGATTTTCTCATGTTTGGCTTTGACCACAGTTAAGTTCGATTTTGTAACTCGTCTTGTAGTTAGTACTGCTGTCATGTTGCAGTGGTTTCTTTTCAACGAGACCCGTGAAGATCCTGGTTAGATTTGATCTTCAGTAACCCATGCTTGTCGTAAGAGGCGACTAACGGGTTCGGGTGGTCAGGCTCGCTGACTTGGTTGACACACGTCATCATATCCCCATTGCGTAGAGCGATGCTCATGCTGTTGATCACTGGATTGTCTGGTCCAGACTCGATTATTTACAGACCGCCGCCATATAGCTGGAATATTGCTGAGTGCGGCGTAAAACTAAACTCACTCACTCTTTTGACCTATATGGTTTAGTGTGGGTATTGAATCAAGAGGCCGGTAGGGTAGCATCACTTGCATTGATGATACTCCCAACGATATGATATTTCGCAGAGTGCGGCGTAAAACTAAACTCAATTTTCAACGATAATGAGGATACAACTGTCTGTTGTGAATATTTCTGTACACAATATCCAAGTAATAGAATACTAGGAAGTCGGTAACAAGCCGAGTCTTGATGAGATGAAGTTGGAATTATCAGCATCGATCTTCGCAACTGGGATACTTGACACGCATCAGCCTATGTTGCAAGTCTTGACCACTCGACCCTTGAACCCCTCGACGTTGTCTCTTACGAAATACATGAATAAAAGACTAGTTCTATCCAATATTTCTAAGGGCTTGGATCATTTAAAGGAACACGTGGAAGTAATCATGATTCAGAAAATCTTGTCTGAAACTTCCACTATTCACAATAGGTTTACCGTCGGTGGAAAATATAACAAAACTGCCATGTTGCTGTGTCTGAAAGTTAATTGAGAAATACGATTTGTTACATCGGAAGGCGTTCATCAGCAGTCTTCAACATAGTCTCTAAGGCTCTGAATCGCAGTCAGTTTCATGCTGCAACCATCGGTACAGCTGAAAGTAGTGTAGAGAGAATCTGCCTTGGACGGCAAGAGGTTCGCAAAAATCAGGATCTGAAACAACAAAAAGACCAGCATACATTTCAGCAATAGAGTAGAAATTCACTGAAGACCTTTCTGCATGGTGAGAACTAAGTGCTCGTAAACATGCTAGTTTTGACTATCCACAGAAATAGATTAATCATGATTGATTCCAAATGTCAAAGAAGGTTATTTTATGGCGTAATGGCTTTCAGTTTATGAATAAACATGTATTCTACCCCGAGGGACAAATTGTACGTACGTACTAGCCCGTATGTTACAGTTATCAGTATTAACCTATTGGCACACTAAGGTTAATTTGCAGTGTTAGCTTATCCACGCGCTTACCTTAGTTATCAGGATTTTCTCACTAGCATACTAACTTTAGTTGTTGGCGTTAAATGACTTACTATATGCATACACAATGTTAGAAAGTGGTCAAATGTAACATGTTATATTTGGGATTACACTTTCCTAGTAAAGTACTTTTTGGGTTGAGTCCCATTCGGGATGTGCACCTAATCGCCAGCACAACCCACTGGTCATACCCCACTTTGCCGGACAGCTGATGTGATGATAACGGATTAAGAGTAACGGTCCGCTGGTTTGCCGGCTATAGTCTGTTTTCAGTGAGTAGTTGTCACCAACAGTCATTTAGTCATTTATATTAGCTGAATTAAGTGAAGCTTATTAAAATGATTATTTCTTAAGTTGTGCCTGTATATATAATGTAGACATGGTTCGCTCATTGCAAAATGGCAAATGCTCAAGTTAACATTCAGTTCATTCTAAAATCGAGGGGAGGTAGGTAGACACTTAATCTATCTAGATCACAAGTTTAGGGTTAAGAACACAGAAAGGGACGAATTCATTGGAAATGGTGTAAGACAGGTTGTCCTGCAACCGCCAACACCGTCAGTGATGTTCTCAGCAGTTCCAGGAACATAAGGGGCGGTGGGGTAGCCTAATGGTTAAAGCGTTGGCTCGTCACGCCGAAGACCCGGGTTCAAATCCCCACATGGATACAATGTGTGAAGCCCATTTCTGGTGTCCCCCCGCCGTGATGTTGCTGGAATATTGCTAAAAGCGGCGTAAAACCAAACTCAGTCAGTCAGTCAGTCAAGGAACATACACAACCACCAGCAAGATCAAGTTCAGTTTAGAAAATATTTATGTTTATATTTATTTATGTCTTCAGTTACCATTTTCTTATTTTCAGAAAATGTACGAAATGTGTATTTATAAATTTTATCATGAAGATAAAATGTACCAAAAATGTTGGAATTGGTGAAAGATAAAAAAATCGAGATGAAGGTTCAGTGTGTACTTTCTTAGGCCGAAACAGACTATAAGTTAATACCCTATTGCTTAAGGGAGTATCGCGCATCAGTGAAGTTTTATCTATAACAAAAGCGTCCGGCAAAATGGGAACCCCCCAACCCACTCAGCCATTTAGTGGAAGTCGACTGACGGGATCGGGTGGTCAGACTCGCTGACTTGGTTGACACGTCATCGTATCCCAATTGCGCAGATCGATGCTCATGTTGTTGATCACTGGAATGTCTGTTTCAGACGCGATTATTTCAAGACCGCCGCCATAAAACTGGAATATTGCTGAGTGCGGCGTAAAACTCAACTCATTCACTCACTGAAAAAAGAGCACAGAATACACCAGGGGCTTTCAAACAGCTTTGAGCCTAAAATACTTTTGATATGTGCATGATAAAAATAACTGTATGATATTGAAGAATGGTTTATATCATTCACATAAACGTAATATGGACATGTTCATGTCACTGGTTTCCGGTCACGTGACATCTAATCACATATTTCCCTGGAGAGCGATTAACAGCAGTACGAGTACTGAGTCCCATGGGGTACTCATACTGCTATCAATCACACTTCAATGTGCTTCGCTGGGTGGCCCGCGAAGACCAAAACTTTTAAGACTGCTCTGTACTCAAGCTTATCAATTTCTTCCGTTTCAGTAGGGGTACATGTGACCGGCTACTGATAGCCCCTCGTATATCCGGAGTTGCGTGAACTGTATCAAAATGCATCCCAGTAGTCGCCTCTAACACTTGTTTTGGAATGCAATTAAATTATGCACTTCTAATCACTAATTAAGCTTTTGATAAAAATCAGCTATCTTTTACTATTAACAGAGGAATCATAACTTGTATTCGAAAACAAGATAAAGACAGAAGACACATGAAAAACTGGCGACCTATCACTCTATGCAAGAATATTCACAGTCATGCAAGAATTGATAACCCATTTTGGAGAGATGTTTTATCTATTTGGAGTAAAAATTATAAACAACAACATAGATAAATACTTGTCAACCAGAAGAAATCTTGGTTGAATCACCCATTTAGACATACTAATTTCTTCATTGAAGATTGGTTTAACAGAGATATTCATACAATAAGAGATATATGGGGTGAAAATGTTTTTTTCGTCTTTCAATGAAATACAAAAACCTTTACTGCATCAATGGAACAGTTTTAGAGTACAATAAAATCATCTTAAATATTCCCAAATCTTGGAAAAATACTCTTTTATTTGATCCTGTAAGTACTCAAAACCTCTCACTAAACTCAAGTCTTTAAGACCTCTATCTCAAATGAAGGAATGTAGAATATTCTATGACAAACTTATAGCAAATGATACCCCACCTACAGTTTGTCAGAAATGGCAAAACGAACTAAATATAGATATTTCATGGAACATAGTGTTTAAAAAATACAGAAACTGCACAAAGGATGTAAAGCTTTTAGATTTTCAGTATAGATTTATAAACAGAGCAATTTATCCCAGAAAAGAGTTGTTGCAAATGAAGATAATTGAAACAAATATTTGCTCTTTTTGTCAATCTAAACCAGAAAGCCTCCAACATGTATTCATAAAATGAAATCTTGTACGGGAATTTTGGAGAAAGGTTGAACACTTTTTTAATCTCACACATTGTGATGTTCCCATTTCAGACAATTTCAAGACATTCTCTTTTGCAACAGTTCAGCTAGTCTACTAGCAACACACATTATTCTGTTGGCCAAATAATATATTCATACTTCAAGTATAAAACAGAATGAACTATCCATTGACTGTCTCGCTAATATCGTCAAGGATGTGTACAAAGTAGAAAGAATTGTTGCTTGTAAGAACAATGCTTTGCCTTAATTTAATTCCAAATTGAAACCTCTGAACAATGTATTAGAGATATAATTATACACCTGACATGTCCATTTTATGAGCGCATCACTGTATATGATTTGTAAAACAATGATATGACATATGTATCTACACCTGCTGAAGTGAAATGAATAACAAGAATGTGGAAAAAAAATAAAAATTGTTGTAATTATTTGTTTGACCCGTGACGATCCAGACTAGAATTGATCTTCAGCAACCCATGCAAAACGTATAACGCTCCTAACACGATCAGGTGGTCAGACTTGCTATGGTTGAAACATGGCATCGTATCTCAATTGCATAGGTAGATGCTCATGCTGTTGGCCACTGGATTGCTTGGTCCAGACTCGATTATTAACAGACCGCCGCCATGTAGCTGGAATATGGCTAAATGCCTTTAGGAGCGACCACTCTATATGCGTAATTTATTACTTGTACATTCTTTGGTTTTTATGGTTGTTACAATCATGGTATTGCATACTTTCAACCTATGGGCTATTCTTAAACTAAATACACAGTACTTGCGTACTTTCGTATGGGTGGAAAGAGACAACATTCTTTACATGCTAGAAGAATGTCCAGTGCCAACGGGTAAAAGCCGCAGAATGTTCAAGGTGAATGCCACTTATCAAGAAACTATCCGTGTGTGAATTGATAATGTAAATGTGGCGTATATGGATGACAATTCCTAGAGTCTTTTATGATGCAGTTCATGTTCAAGTTTCTAAGTTTTATAAGTTCATACGTCAAAAGTTCTTCGAAAGATCTGCTTTGTTCCTTGCTTATGATAGTATCACTAATGTCCATTAAAGTTGGCGACAGGTAATTTACGTAACAGTGGTATTTTGATCAGCACCTCTGTGTTCATGTTCATGATCATGTTAACCAAAAGTTGGATTCATGTATTAGTTGTCAATTTGGTACAAAACGTCAAACTACATTGTAAATGTATCCATAGTTGCACTTATTGTCATTTGGTGTTGTTTATTTGTATTAAAATTAATGAAAAATTGTAATTAACGTCACTCAAAAAAATAAAGAAAAAAGAATGAGTTGTAACACATTTGACGGTTGAGATCGTTGGGACCAGCATGTCTGACTATTACTTTACGATACAGTATCACAGTGACAGGTGATAATCAAATGTGAAATGTGCATTTCCATTGTATAAACAGATCTGATATAATAAAGTAGACGCCCAGTTGTTCATATTGCTTTTCCACACAAATGACATGCGAAACTGTCTATCTTATTCTTCTGTTTTTGAAAATATCAACGTATTGCTATTTGAAAGACAGCTTGTCATTGTTACTTGGGTGTCGTCACGTAAGTTTCATTGTAACTTCAGGGTACAATAGTATAAAGAGCTGTTGCAAGGTTTGTTTGTAACTGAGTGCTGAATAGTTAGCAACAGATTCTCTAATGCTTGTACTTCATGAAAAGTACATCAAACGTTGCTTTCCCGCGAGTTTCCACTGGCAATACACTTTAACTGAAAATGGATCGATGTGTATCGTTTTGAACGACAGTACACAAACAATATGCAGTGGGATTCTATCATGTTGTTTCCGATGACGTTCGTTAAGACGTTTCCAGGTAGGATGAACCAGAACATCCAAAAACATTACAGGATACCATTTGTGTCTTCAGAAACCTGTTAAAAAATCTTCCAATAACAGACCGACACCAGTTTAACATAATAGCTACCTGAAGACGGCGATTTCCAAATCTGTCACAAAACTACATTCAAGGAGAGTACATAGCTAACATGCTACTGTAGAAAATACAAACCAACAGTACTGATGTCTAACTAATACTATTGGAATGACCGTCCACTGAAATGCAAGGAGGAATTGCATGAACCAAGCGTAATGTTCTAGGTTTGGTAAGGGGCTCTGTTTTGCCTTCGAGACGGCTCGTATTCATTTTTCGAAGCTGTTTTTTTACTTCTAACGACCTATCATAAAATAAAAATTTCATGATTCTGTATATATTATTAGAAAAAAAGAATACTAAAATATTAAGCATTACGGCAAGCTCGTATATTTCAATATTAATTTGAACACACGGTTTGAAAATATACTGAGGCATAAATATAATACCGCGCTCGGCAGACGGTAACGGTGTCTAATAATTAAATTTAGTTACTGTGGTTGTTTTAGGTGGACTGTTCAAAAGGTAAATTCCAGCATTAATCTGTTGTCGGTTTAAATAGATTTCTGATAAACTCTGTCCCGTCACTGTACTGTTTTCAGTCATATAAAACTCAAGACATTAATATTGTGGCATCATTGAAGCCATTATCTCATAACAAAATCAGGTGAGTGATGTAACGATCAGTCTGGTCCAGCAATAAAAAAGACAATGTGTTATCAATAACGAACAACTTTAACGTGTTTTTGGAATATATTGTAATTCTGCACTTCTAACCACTAATTAATGTACATTTAATCAGTTGTTTGGATCTGGTCTTCAGCAACCAAAGCTAGTCGTATAAACCTACTACCAGGGTCCGGTGGTCAGACTTACTATCATGGTTGACACATGTTATCGTATCTCATTGCATAGATAGATACTCAAGCACTGGATTACCTGGTCCAGACACGATTATTTACAGGCCCCCGCCATGTAGCTGGAATATTGCTTAGTGCGGCGTTAAACAATAAACAAACAACATGATTGAAACGTCTTATCAACTTCGATATCGTGTAAGAATCGATCTTCAGTAGCCTATGTCTGTCTTTAGAGGTGGACACAGGATATGCATATCTTCATTGCGTGTACATTCTTTGGTTTTTAGGGTAGTGCGTACGGTTACAATCGTGGATTTGTATAATCTCAACCTATGGTCTATCATTAAACTAAATACGTTGTACATAAGTGAACGGTAGTTCAAAGAGCTGCCTCCAAAACATTTCCTCGTACTGTGAATTGATCTATGAGCGATTCAAGGTAGCTAAAATATCGTACCTGAAAGCGAAACAATCTCTTGACAAGATTCAACATTGATATCAGAATATTTTGAAGATGCCTACAGTGAATGAAGAGATAAACTGCTTGAGTTAGGCAATTCCATGATATTCATTCATGTGCAATTCCATTGTACAAGATGGACATAGTTCTTCGTGATGGACACGTTTAGAATAGTGGTTTCAGCGGAAGCAACAGGAAGTCAACTCAGTACTCTGGGATGATCAGGATCCGGCATACTTAACGTCTTCCTTGCAACTGTGACTTACCCGTGCTGGAACTTGTCCCAGGACTTTGTAGAAAGCTAATTCTTTATCCTGGTTGAGTAAGTCTGCTCTCAGACGTAAGATCTGTTGAGTCAGGCTGTTCAAAGCGGTCGGGGTTGTTTTGCCTGCAAGGAAAGTATTATGTCAAAATAGGAATCTCTGAACAGAATCGAAATATGTGACTTATTTTCGCAGGAATGATCTGGCTATGTTGGGATTGCTGTTACATGACTCTGAGTGAGTGAGTGAGAGTGAGTGGGTGAGTGAGTGAGTGAGTGAGTGGGTGAGTGAGTGAGTGAGTGATGCCAGCTTCCATTTTGTTTTTGTATCAGTTTATGGCAACGGTCACCAACATTGCAGTTAATGACAAACACACTAACTAATCGTGTAATACATTAAAATGTAAAACTGTCAAAAACTCTGAAATGAAATGAAAAATACAGAAATTGTTTTTATCAATACACATGTTTATGTAATTAACAGACATTTCATTCATGTATGCATTTCGTCTTTTAATGTGCATTTCGATGACAACAGTATGAGCATCAATCTACACAATTGGGATACGATGACATGCGTCATCCAAGTCAGTGAGCTTGACCACTCCATCCCTGTAGTTGACTTGTACGACAGTCATGGGGTTCTGAAGATCAGTTCTAACCCTGATCTTCACGGGTAAACAGTAACGGACTTACCGGGTGCAAATGTGACTTCAATGAAGTACAGGTTAGAATCCGAAAAGCTGCTGGGTCCATTCCCTTGTAATGTATTGGTTACACCAAGATCATCTGCCAAACTCTCACCATCGTACAGTGTAGTTACAGAGAAATCCGCTCCAATCTTAACATACCGATATGTCAACCAGTTCCATGAGCAGCCGGATCTAGCGGTTACAACTGACATGGAATGAGAATGAATTGGGTGGGTGAGTGAGTGAGTTAATATATAGTTATCGTTACATCGGCAATATTTCAGCCATATCGTGACGAGAACCAATATGACATTGATAAGGAATAAATGTAAAATATAATATAAAACCTGTCCTCAAGGGACAGTAAAACAACTAGAGCATCACAGTTAGATTTAAAACTAGCATTTACTGTTAAAATACACACAGTTCACTATACGGACAATGCACAGTATTAAACTGGCTATAGATCGCCAGCAACTGAAGGTAGATCACCATACTAGGGACCATGGAGACTTGCAGTACGAGAATGAATAGAATAATAACGGTATGACAAATACATTAAATGTAATTATTAATCACGTTTTCATGATATCCATTTCAATAAATACATACTTTCATTACCTGAGGGCCAAACAGTTGTCGGTGTTTTTGCCCTCGCATTTACAGTCCCACTTTTAGAATCTATCTCGTTATGAACGCTCTCAAAGCAAGTCTGGTTTTGTATGTTACCGACCAAGGACGGTAAGTCTAAGCCAAATTCCGGTGTAAATTTGCAATTACAGCTGTCGGTATTTACGAGCGCTTGAGGCAAACACTAATCTCTTCTCCCGTTAGGCCACATAAAAGTAATTTCTTGCGTCTCATTACCGCCCGACACTAAAATTTGGCCCGATCCTATTTTTTGCTATATATACTGAAAGCCATTAAAAATGCAATTTGAAATTCATACTTTCTTTACTGACACTAATTTCAACATATATAAACCTAACTGGCAGATTTGTTATAAGTGAACATCTGTGAATAACTTCATCTGAAAATGTCCAGTCAATAACAACATCAGGGACGCAACAACGACATCACACAAAGGAGGGGTCCACCGTGCGCTGCAAGACCTGCTCGCAGTCTTTGGGGCATTGAAAGACACATTTCTCAGGAACAGCTGTTGGATGGTCTGCAGCCTCTGATGGTCTGTGGTCTGATCATGACACCATCCCCTCCAAAACGATCATGTCTTTCTCCTTTACGTCGATAAATCTGTTGACGTCCATCTGCAAAGGATAAATTAAACCTGGATTCATCTGAAAAAATGACATCTGGCCATGTCCTGTTGCCAAGATTGGCCCCATTTGCTGCCCATCGCTGTCTGGCAAGTCTGTGGCGATGCAATAAGGTTGGACCACGGTACGGGTGACGACACCGGATGTTGAAGGCAGCAAGGCGTCCTTGCACCTTTTGGGCGCTGAAATGACGGTGACTTGTCCCAATTGTCCTCCTTGCCTAATCATCAGCTGTTTGGAACAGATTTCGCAAGTGTGAAATTCGGATATTGCGGTTTTGTCAAGCTGTTATCACAGGTGGTGCACCAGGTCGCGGACGATCAGCAACACTTCCGGTAGCCCGAAAACGTTGTCTGAGTCGACTTACAGTGGATGGATGCACATTAAAGTGCCTGGCAATCATCACATCTGTAGCACCTTGGCTGACCATACCGATAACCTGATTCCTTTCGTCTTGTGTCAAGTGTGGCATTTTTCTCAAAGTGATTGAGTTCCACAATTACTTGTGCTTTAACAGGGCCTGGGTGCAGGTAATGCATGTGCACAACGTGTTTCATGAATGTGGTTGTGTTTACGAGAAATGTCAAAGGTTCAGTTTTAAGTATCAAAGTTCATGTGAGAGGAATGCTCCGGGACTCGAACTCGAAATGGGCCAAATTAACAGCCTTTTATCCTTACATCGTCTCTATCGCAGGAAAAAGTCTTCAATAGAACTTTTGTAAGTTTCAGGACAACTAATACCAATTGCGTTTTTAATGGCTTTCAGTATATTTTGCTCAGGTTAATTCGAGTATATAAAGCCGGCAGACTTCCGAAATCCGTCTCAGCTTCCGGCATTCATAGTTTTCGACTAACATTGTACAGAAAATCAGAAAAAAATATGAAAAAGTAAAAATATAATCCGCCCTACCTATCCATTTATTTATTTTTTTTAAAAGTGACGAGAAACAAGAAATATATTTTTGTGGCCTTTTGCTAAGAAGAGGATTCACCGAGGAAAATCAAGTAATTATAGCAATGAACGTTTTATTGTTGTTTCTAAATATACTTACCTACAATTGCTCTAGGTTCCCCTCTAACCTGGAATTATATATTGAAAGCAAAGTCAACATTACGGTGGTGAAATATTTCCTGAAATGATGCGACAGGTGTATAAGAAGAAATATGGACGCGACAACAAAACCTGTTTTAGTAATATTAAGACATATCTAAGAGTAAGATTTTTGTTTGTTGTTTAACGCCGTAATATTCGATCCATATGGCGGCGGTCTGTAAATAATCATGTCTTGACCAGAAAATCAAGTGATCAATCTATGTGAGCATCGATCTATTCCCTTGGGACATGTCAGCATGCCAACCCGATCCCGTCAGTCGCCGTTTACGACAAGCATGGGTTGCTGAAGATCAGTTCTAACCCGATCTTCACGGGTAAGTTAGATATGGGACACCGCCTTATTTCTGTTAAAACCCCTAAGAAGGTAAAGCTACAAATTTAAGAGCTGTTCACTACACCAATGGCACCAGCATGTTTACCATAAAACGTTTGGTAGGCTTTATAAAGGCCTCTGATGAAAGAAATTCTATGTGTCTCTTGAACAATCAAGTGAATATAGGATGGGAATGCCACACTAACTCGGTGCGCCTAGTGGCTGCAAGAGTTGTATGCTCCCCAGGGAGTTGAGATTGACAATACGATGTGCCGTTGAGATTGACATCCAGTGAACGAGGAAAAAAAACAAAGTGCCTTTGAGCAGCTGAGCTGAGCTGGATATCGGCGCTATACAAATGTATGTATGTATGTATGTATGTATGTATGTATGTATGTATGTATGTATGTATGTATGTATGTATGTATGTATGTATGTATGTATGTATGTATGTATGTATGTATGTATGTATGTATGTATGTATGTATGTATGTATGTATGTATGTATGTATGTATGTATGTATGTATGTATGTATGTATGTATGTATGTATATGCATATGCATGCATGCATGTATATATAGAGAATCTCACCCGAGTGTCTTTTGATATCAAATATATCACCACGAGTTGATAAAAGTGAGAAAACTCCTCGGCAAGCCTCGGGTTTTATCTTTTATCAAGTGGTGATATATTTGATATCAAAAGACACTCGGGTGAGATTCTCTATACATGCATGCATGCATACATACATACATACATATATATAGTGAGTTGATAAAAGTGGCAAGCCTCGGAGTTTTCTCACTTTTATCAACGAGTGGTGATATATTTGATATCAAAAGACACGAGGGTGAGATTCTATTTATCATCCAATATCATACTTAATTTGTCGTTGAAAGAAAATAAAAACGAAACATCATCTGGAACAAGTTCATTTTGAAGACTTGCGTATGAATACATCTGAGTAAACAAGAGTGATGGAAGAGGGAACGATTGACAACGTTACGTCATAAAAAAACAAGCACATAACAAAATAGTGCTAACAGTTTTGGCTTTAAATTATGCAATGCATACTTGTCACCATTTCGCGGGGGCATTGCAAGTTAAATTTTATGTTGTTAAAACAAATCATGAACAAAAATAACTCTTTCGACCTCAAAGAAGAAACTTTCAAACATTTGAAGTCTCGCGCACAAGTCAGTTCGAAACCAAGCATGGCGGTAGCCACACTTCACTCGGAGTCAGTGTCACTCTCAATGACAGGTCTACGACGCTTGTCAGAGGAAAAGTTGTTGACATTTACGGTGAAAGACCCCCCTGCAATGTAACTAGAGCCAAATACTGACTGGAGGTGGTTTCTCTTGCTAGAAACACAAGTGGTGTTGGAAGCATATGTCATGGACAAGCAACAGTCGTTATGGCGGGGTGCCGGGGCTTTGTTTACATCCCTCCTCGCCTCGCTATAACACGGGACCAGCTGGCCTGAAACTGAAGAATCTGAATTTGAGAGAATGGAAGATATCTCGCTGTGCTGTGCATCACTGATGTGAGAATAGTTATTGATACTTTGGATATTTTTGTGCCCAGTGATCTGCATTATATGTGACGGCGGGACATTGTTGTCGCTCAACTTTTGAACCAAGTGCTTTCGGGCACTGTGATTCGTAAGTTTTCTGTCACTTGACAGACCAGCTGCTGTTGACATGCGCTTCATAAACGATTCCAGTTTATGGATGCCAACTGGTTGTCGTTTGAACCACACCGAGTCAACAGGTGGGTTTTTTACAGTGGTGCAGGACACATAAAATGGAGACTCTGGGTAGCTATAGCCAACCGGACGCAAGCGCTTGTAGGCTTTAAACATCTCGACCGGGCACTGCTCTTTATTATTGGGAAGAGCCCACATTTTTGGACTGACAACCCGGGTGCCTGTTTGATCCCCCTGGCGTGTTTTGGAGACCCTCTCAGTAAGTTCTAGGAATTCCCGGCCATTACTGTCCACTTTCAATTCAACATCCCCCCACTTCATCTGTTTATGCTCGTGGCTTCCCCTCAAGCCGAAATGGATAGTGTTGTTAAACCACAGGGAGTTTAGTATGGATTCTGGTGATGAATATCCAAGCTGCTGCTTCGCCCAAAACTGCTGTATTTCTTCGTCAGTGATCGCAACTGATCTATGGGGTAAGTTTCCTTTCCCTAGCGACTTAAGTTGTTTTTGTTTTGCTGACATGACCTCTCTGTATTTAGTGAACTCGACGCTCCCCCGGAGTGTGTACCCATAGGTATGTCGCCGTAAATATCGTTCTACAGATGAGTTTATTCCACGAAGGGAATTAGTTTCGAATTCGTTCCCATCGACCCTTTTGGTAGAAACGATAAATTTGCAGAGATAGTTGTTGAGTTCCAGGGGGGATATGACATGAATAGGGCGTGTTTCACCAAGCGTGACTAGAAACTGGGACACAAGATTTGTGTCACGGAGAGTTTTTCGAGCGGTGTTTTTGTTTTCTTGCATCTGTATCAGCTTGTCAACATCATTGTCACTCACTTGTGCGAATCTTGAGTTTACATTGTTGTTGTTGTTTAAATCCTGGGGCGGCAGAGTAGCATGAGATGTTGTAGCTGATGTTGTAGTATTAGTACATGTTGACATAGCTGATGACGTCTGCTCACCTAATGTTGTCAAGGTGGGTGGGGCAATTAATGATAGTCGAGTTTCCATCACTTCCACTGTCCAGTCAATTCCATCTATTGAACAGATATACCTTCCCTCACCTACATAGGAAGTAATAGTGGCTTGGCCAGATCCATCAATTGAAACTTTGTCACCTGTCAAAAATGACTTAATTGCAGCAGCCATCTTTGTTTACAGCTAGAGGAGATGAAAGTAGTCCAGAAATATTGACCAATCAGCAATTAGCTCAAAACTTACCAAAACGATATCTCCTAGGAGATATCGCTTGATCTTTGACAAGCGATATCTCCTCTGGAAACTAGTATTGGATGATAAATGTATGTATGTATGTATGTATGTCTGTCTGTATGTATGTATGTATGTCTGTCTGTCTGTCTGTCTGTCTGTCTGTCTGTCTGTCTGTCTGTCTGTCTGTCTGTATGTATGTATACTCAGTCTACCATTCAAAATATCATATTAGGATATGATCTGCCCATTCTATAACGTGATCTGCATTTTTATAACGTGATGTGTCAATATTATATTATAAGACCACCACCACTAAATATTACTTCGTTTATATTATCTACATGTGCTATTATATCACCTGTTCGTTTTATGATAATATACTACGGTTATAACGAACTCAATGTTATTTCCTTATAACCGTATTTCGACTAAAATGTAAGTAAGAGGTCTGGGCCAAGAAGTTGTATTTTTTTGTATCCGTCAGTTCGTTATAAACGAAGTTTCCTGTATTTTTAACTGACATATAAGAAATTTATCAGTTTATCATTAGTTTATCAGTTCACAATGTACCGTTTCCTTTTGGCAGTTTGATTTTAATAACAACTTCATCAGTCAGCAATTGCCATACATAATCACAGATAAATACATTAAATTACAAGATAGCCTAACAAATCATGAACGTATGAGTCTGTGCGTTGGGTACCTCACCCATGTGAACGGCGTTGGTCTTATGGCAAACGAGTGAGTTGCATTTCACGCCACTTTTAGCAATATTCCAGCTATACACGGCGGGGCACACCAGGACCCCGTTCCTCAAAGCGATCGTAGCGCTACGACAGTCGTAAGTCTGTGTTAAAGTATGGGAGTTACGATCACCTTAGCGCTACGACGGTCGTAAGTCTGTGTTAAAGTATGGGAGTTACGACTGTCGTAGCGCTACGATCGCTTTGAGGAACGGGGCCCAGAAATGGGCTTCACACGCTGTACCCATATGGGTATCGAACTCACGCGTTATCGGCGTAACGTGCGAACGCTCTAACCACTAGGCTACCCATCACCCCCAATTGCAAACAAGATTAAGCTAGTATGAAAATATAATGTCTGTTCCAACGAGCACTGATACGGTTGTCACACATTTTTACACACATTATGCATATGATCTTAAAATGAGATAACTAGTTGAGTGCCGAAGTATTTCGAATAGCTAATTATTTTCCAGACGATCAGCAATATAGATAAGCTTTAAAATGGTGAAGAAACTATTGATTGTTTTATCAGGCGTTGATCATTAATACAATATTTATAATACTAGAAGCTATCTATAGTAATATCTGCAAATAATAGCCTGCCAGTCAACATATACCTTGGTAAAGAATGTCAGCGGTTCAGAGCAGCTAAAAACACTGAGAATCCACGTACTTGAATTTTGAGAACATAAACTAGTGCTCAAAAGTGTGTTTGACCATACTTGAAAAGAAAAGAAAAGCATGTGTAAATGTGCTGTTCCCATACATTGTATAGGTTGATTGTTGCATGTCGAAGACTCAATTTGTTTACAAACAACATCATATAGCTGTAATACTACTGAAACAAATATATACTCATGATATTGCCACAATTGTACAATTGACTCTGCTTTTGCAGAAATTTCTTCTGGATGTGGAAAGGGTTTTGTTCCTTCTACTTCAATTGACCACCACTATCTTCAACGCACGTCGAAACACGTCGACGTTTTGATGACGTAAGACGACAAATGACGTTAGGCATCATCCGTTCCCATTCCGTTGTTGAGCGGTGACAGGTGGCGCTGGTAGTCTTCTGATTTGTCGATCCAGGTAGACCCATATGCATTCTATCGGATTCATGTCGGGAGAACTTGCTGGACACGGCAAAACAACGATGTAAGCGTTATGCAGGAAGTCGTTTGTCAGCCTTGCTGTATGAGGCCTTGCGTTATCGTCATCACTGTACAGGCAAAACCTACTGTCGTCGGTGCACATCACACGTCGCCAATGATGCATCTACCAACGTCGAACTCGCTTGGTCCATGTAAATCGACGACGTCGGCTTTGAAGAGTCAGATGCATTCCGCGGTTGGGTCGACGTGCTCGAATACCATGTTCTTAGTCGTCGATACACTGTATGTTGACTGATGTCCTGCCGTTGACAACGTCGTTATAAAGCGATTTCTGAATTGTAGGGTGTGGCGTGGTCGACGACTTCTAAGCCTGTCTGACGCTTTGCCTGTTTATCCTAGTCGTTGCATCAGTCTGATGACAGTTGCTCGGGTGCAGCTGAAATATGTTAGGTCTTGCTGTTAAATGAACAGATTCAAAGCTCAGGTCACAAATCGGTGAAGTAAAGCAGCGTCGAGCTCGGAGAGTCTTCGGATGGGTGACCGTGTTTGGCAGCTTGACTCCTGAGAGTTTCTAGGACTTGAGTCCTGCCCCACAACGAAGCACATGTGACACATGTGGTCTCACCTTAGGCAAGTGAGTTTGTTCAAAATTGTCTCTGTTCACCCAGCAGGAAAATGGGTACCCGGTGGAAAAAAGTCATATGACTATAACCTTCTAGCGCCTAACAGACAGCTTGGGTTATCCGGGGTAATAATGTGCTGTGCCTTGATTGTTAGCGTTATGAGCATACCTAATGTGGAGTTTGGCGCTATATAAATGGACACATTGTTATTATTATTATTAAATGTAGTCATGTAAGACAGAGCTTTTCCTCCTCAGTGTACCCTCCTGGTAGACACTCCATCGTGGGTGGGGAGCGATGGCACCCCGACTCAGAAAGCCTTTACACGAATTGAAGATTTGTTCTCTTTGGATGACGAGGCTGCGAGAGCTTTCACCAGCCCCTATAATTGGTCTAGTGTCCTTACCAATTTCGCCCCAGATGCATCCGTATTCCATGGCAAAGGCAATCAAAGGTTTGGCCGGTGATATGAAATTTAAGAAGCTGAATAGATACGACCTGGGTCTCTAATTCAAGGATATTCACCATCTTAAAGACCTATTTTTAACTGATACATCAGATATTGCCCATGCCCCCCGTGAAACGTTGCTTAAACATTCCTCTTCTAATTATGTAGCCCTATTCCAAAATATCAAAATCATCTGGAAAAGGTAAATAAGCATTTAAATTCAGAAAATGCGGACGATAATGAAACATATTCCATTGACATGAACATGTCCAGGGTCGTACCATGGATGGACATCTAAGTCAAAGCCACAGAAATGGCGAAGTTGGTAGTAGAAGCAACGAGCCATGACATCATGTCGTTTGTGCCAAGGAAGGGCATCCACCGACCGGGTGTTGGACAATCTTTGTCAATTCATTGCACAATCAACATTTTATGCAAATCGTTTCTTTAAGAATCACATTGTGTTGATTGCGAGTGGGAGGTGATCAGTCCTAAGCAGCAAAATGGGAGCCCTCTGTTTCACTTAGGACTTAAGACCAGCCGACTGCATCCAGGCAAATGAGTCGGTTGGATTGCTTTTCTCTCTGTTCCATACACTGCATATATACACCATGCATGGTTTCCCAGATAGCCTTTCCACAAATGACCGACTGTGGTAGACTTGGTGAAGGACTTTACCTGGTTTTATCCCATCGCTGTACCGTCCAGCAGTACATCGCCATCAACAAAATCTACTTCGACTTTGAGATTCTGTCCAACAACCATGACGCGCTTAAAATAGTCGTGGAATTCCTTGTTTTTCCTTGTTGACATGTATCACCAGAGGATCATCTGATAATAAACATGTGCAAAAGTACACAGTGAAGGCTATCATGAAGAGCCTCCACAATAACCAAACCACAGCCTCCCAAAATGATTGACATATGCGAGGATGGTGGGCTTGGTTATAAGACAGGATTCTTCTGGCCATGCGGTCAAGACTCTGGATGTCTTGTGTTGTCCAATCAACTACTCCAATGGAATAGGAAAGCACAAATGACCGACTCTGGGCAGACTTGGTGAAGGACTTCACCTGGTTTACTCCCATCGCTGTACCGTCCAGCAGTACATCGGCATCAGCAAAATCAACCTCTGATCTGAAATGAATCTGCATGAGTCGAAGTTTCATCACAGTGAAATTGTCAATATGTCTCGTTGAGTTTGTTGTTTAACGCCGCACTGAGCAATGTTTCAGCTCTATGGCGGCGGTCTGTAAATAATCGAGTCTGGACCAGACATCATGAACATCGCTCTACGCAATTGGGATACGATGACATGTGTTAACCAAGTCAGCGAGCCTGACCACCAAATCCCGTCAGCCGACTTCCCCTGGATGGCTAAATGGGTTGTGCTGGCGATTTGGTGCCTGACTCTGAGGGTGTGGGTTCGAATCCCGAATGGAACTCCACCCAACAAAGGTACTAGAATATGTACTTTACTAAGAAAGTGTAATCCCAGATGTAACATGTGTTACATTTGACCACTTTCTAAACTTTCTAACATTGTGTATTCATATAGTAAGTCAGCTAACGCCAATAACTAAAGTTAGTATGCCAGTTAGAAAATCCTGATAACTAAGGTAAGTGCCTGGATAAGCTTACACTGCAAATTAACCTTAGTGTACCAATAGGTTAATACTGATAACTGTAACACGTGGGCTAGAAGGTACATACTTCTGAATTCGTATACCACTGAATCAAAATTGTTGAAATTGCACGAACATCAGTGAATGTGTACTGCGAAACGGAACAGCAAAGATGATAGAGAACAAGATTCGTTGTCGTTATATAACATTAGAGGGACGCGGGGCAATTTATGGAATTCAACTTTTGTATTATGAAAAACACGTCATTTGGAATATATTGTACTTCTTCATTAAATGAACTTCCCTCCCCCTTTCTATGTATATCACTTCTTATGACATCTAATATGTTATACAACGCTGGTACAAAATGGCTACAAACGAAAAACAGCATGTGTAGACGTACCTTGAAACGATAGATGTCGTCGATGCCATAGCTCTGCCAAATGTACTGACTGATTTTGCCGAGTTCACGATCTTCGTCCCTGTCTGCCAACGGAGGAAGCTTCACATCGAGCAAGTACTTGTTGTCATCTCCTTGACTCTCGACAATCATGGCCACCACGTATACCAACAGAACAACTACAACTACAATTAATTTCATCTTCTTTCGTTTGGCCTAAGGTCCCGAGAACAAGATATGGTGTGACTGTCTAACAATGATATGGCAGGAAAGTGTTTCTGTATTCATATTCACGTTTAAAGGCAACGTCACATTTAAGACCGGAAGAGACTGTGGTCATATTAGCACTTTGTATACAATGAGGGTTAACATCACAGGTCAGCGATCATCCGGTGTTATCGTTTACGGGGCGTATTGCTTATGGTCACAGAAGTTCAAGGCCAATTCCAATTATAAACATTTGAATGTGTACTGACTGAACGAGTTTGGTTTTACGATACTTTTAGCAATATTCCAACAACATCACGGCGGGGAACACCAGAAATGGGCTTCACTCATTGTACCCATGTAGGGATTCGAACCCGGGTCTTCGGCGTAAAGAGCCAACACTTTAACCACTAGGCTACCCCACCGCCCCGGAATGTGTACTGAGTCGAATGTGTAAGAGTGAGTGGGATTAGTTTTACGTCGCTTCTAGCAATATTCCAGCAAAATCATGGCGGGGGACACCAGAAATGGACTTCACATATTGCACCCATGTGAGGAATCAAACTCGGGTCTTCGGCATGACGAGCGGACTCTTTATCCATTAGGCTACCCCACTGCCCCGGAATGTGTAGAAGTGGTCTGAATGTCATACAGCGTATGTTGAATATTACATGTTTCATTGGTGTGTTAAATGCCGCCTCTGAAATTAGTTCATGCCGCCTTGCTGCTGCTGTTGATTTCGTTGTTCCATCATAAGTGTATTTGAAATATCAGAAGCCCAGTAAGCCCAGTACTTGTATACTGAACAAAAAAAGAAACTTCACATGTGTTTCCTTTATGTCCCAAACATTGAGATCAGATGAATACCACTTCATGGCGTCAATACCCGTATTTTACAGGAAATGTTGTGTCAAACAGCTGTGTGATGGAATTAGAGGCCAAGCAGGCACAAGCTACGGGACGAAGACCTAACTATATATTTTGTGTTACTTTGAAACATGTTCAGTGTCGCCTTGAAACATGTTTAGCGTCACCTACCTACATAATTTCTATCGCTGTGAAACATGTTTAGTGTCGGTGTGAAATATGTTTAGTGTCACTGTGAACATGTTTAGTGTCACTGTGAATCATGTTTAGTGTCACTGTGAAACATGTTTAGTGTCACTGTGAATCATGTTTTGTGTCACTGTGAAACATGTTTAGTGCCATTGTGAATCATATTTAGTGTCATTGTGAAACATGTTCAGTGTCGCTGTGAAACATGTTCACTGTCGCTATGAATCATGTTTAGTGTCATTGTGAAACATGTTCAGTGTCGCTGTGAATCATGTTTAGTGTCATTGTGAAACATGTTTAGTGTCACTGTGAATCATGTTTATTGTCACTTCGAATCATGTTCAGTGTCGCTTTGAAACATGTTTAGTGTCATTGTGAAACATGGTCAGTGTCACTGTGAAACATGTTCAGTGTCGCTGTGAAACATGTTCAGTGTCACTGTGAATCATGTTCAGTGTTGCTGTGAAACATGTTCAGTGCCACTGTGAAACATGTTCAGTGTCGCTGTGAAACATGTTCAATGTCAATGTGAATCATGTTTATTGTGACTGTGTATCATGTTAAGTATCACAATGAAACATGTTCAGTGTCGCTGTGAATCATGTTCAGTGTCAATGTGAAACATGTTCAGTGTCACTGTGAAACATGCTCAGTGTCGCTGTGAATCATGTTTAGTGTCACTGTGAATCATGTTCAGTGTCACAGTGAATCATGTTTAGTGTCGCTGTCTGAATCATGTTTAGTGTTGCTCTGAAACATATTTAGTGTCACTGTGAATCATGTTTAGTGTCGCTGTGAATCATGTTTAGTGTCGCTGTGAAACATGTTCAGTGTCCCTATGAATCAAGTTTAGTGTCGCTGTCTGAATCATGTTTAGTGCTGCTGTGAAACATGTTTAGTGACGCTGTGAAACATGTTCAGTGTCACTGTGAATCATGTTCAGTGTCGCTGTCTGAATCATGTTTAGTGTAGCTCTGAAACATATTTAGTGTCGCTGTGAAACATGTTCAGTGTTGCTGTGAAACAAGTTCAGTGTCACTGTGAACATGTTCAGTGTCGCTATGAATCATGTTTAGTGTCATTGTGAATCATGTTCAGTGTCGTTGTGAATCATGTTTAGTGTCATTGTGAAACATGTTCAGTGTCACTGTGAACATGTTCAGTGTCACTGTGAATCATGTTTAGTGTCGCTGTGAAACATGTTCAGTGTCACTGTGAAACATCTTTAGTGTCACTGTGAATCATGTTTTGTGTCACTGTGAAACATGTTTAGTGCCATTGTGAATCATATTTAGTGTCATTGTGAAACATGTTCAGTGTCGCTGTGAAACATGTTCACTGTCGCTATGAATCATGTTTAGTGTCATTGTGAAACATGTTCAGTGTCGCTGTGAATCATGTTCAGTGTCACTGTGAATCATGTTCAGTGTTGCTGTGAAACATGTTCAGTGCCACTGTGAAACATGTTCAGTGTCGCTGTGAAACATGTTCAATGTCAATGTGAATCATGTTTATTGTGACTGTGTATCATGTTAAGTATCACAGTGAAACATGTTCAGTGTCGCTGTGAATCATGTTCAGTGTCAATGTGAAACATGTTCAGTGTCGCTGTGAAACATGTTCAATGTCAATGTGAATCATGTTTATTGTGACTGTGTATCATGTTAAGTGTCAATGTGAAACATGTTCAGTGTTGCTGTGAATCATGTTCAGTGTCAATGTGAAACATGTTTAGTGTCACTGTGAAACATGTTCAGTGTCGCTGTGAATCATGTTTAGTGTCACTGTGAATCATGTTCAGTGTCACTGTGAATCATGTTTAGTGTCGCTGTCTGAATCATGTTTAGTGTTGCTCTGAAACATATTTAGTGTCACTGTGAATCATGTTTAGTGTCGCTGTGAATCATGTTTAGTGTCGCTGTGAATCATTTTTAGTGTCCCTAAGAATCAAGTTTAGTGTCGCTGTCTGAATCATGTTTAGTGTTGCTGTGAAACATGTTCAGTGTCACTGTGAATCATGTTGAGTGTCACTGTGAATCATGTTCAGTGTCGCTGTAAAACATGCTTAGTGTCACTGTGAATCATGTTTATTGTCACTTTGAATTATGTTCAGTGTCGCTGTGAAACATGTTAAGTGTCATTGTGAAACATTTGCAGTGTCACTGTGAAACATGTTCAGTGTCGCTGTGAAACATGTTCAGTGTCACTGTGAATCATGTTCAGTGTTGCTGTGAAACATGTTCAGTGCCACTGTGAAACATGTTCAGTGTCACTGTGAATCATGTTTAGTGTCACTGTGAAACATGTCCAGTGTCACTGTGAATCATGTTTAGTGTCGCTGTCTGAATCATGTTTAGTGTAGCTCTGAAACATATTTAGTGTCGCTGTGAAACATGTTCAGTGTTGCTGTGAAACATGTTCAGTGTCACTGTGAAACATGTTCAGTGTCACTGTGAATCATGTTTAGTGTCGCTGTGAAACATGTACAGTGTCACTGTGAATCATGTTTTGTGTCACTGTGAAACATGTTTAGTGCCATTGTGAATCATGTTTAGTGTCACTGTGAATCATGTTCAGTGTTGCTGTGAAACATGTTCAGTGCCACTGTGAAACATGTTCAGTGTCGCTGTGAAACATGTTCAATGTCACTGAACATGTTTCACTGAACATGTTTAGTGTCATTGTGAAACATGGTCAGTGTCACTGTGAAACATGTTCAGTGTCTCTGTGAAACATGTTCAGTGTCACTGTGAATCATGTTCAGTGTTGCTGTGAAACATGTTCAGTGCCACTGTGAAACATGTTCAGTGTCGCTGTGAAACATGTTCAATGTCAATGTGAATCATGTTTATTGTGACTGTGTATCATGTTAAGTATCACAGTGAAACATGTTCAGTGTCGCTGTGAATCATGTTCAGTGTCAATGTGAAACATGTTCAGTGTCACTGTGAAACATGCTCAGTGTCGCTGTGAATCATGTTTAGTGTCACTGTGAATCATGTTCAGTGTCACAGTGAATCATGTTTAGTGTTGCTCTGAAACATATTTAGTGTCACTGTGAATCATGTTTAGTGTCGCTGTGAATCATGTTTAGTGTCGCTGTGAAACATGTTCAGTGTCCCTATGAATCAAGTTTAGTGTCGCTGTCTGAATCATGTTTAGTGCTGCTGTGAAACATGTTTAGTGACGCTGTGAAACATGTTCAGTGTCACTGTGAATCATGTTCAGTGTCGCTGTCTGAATCATGTTTAGTGTAGCTCTGAAACATATTTAGTGTCGCTGTGAAACATGTTCAGTGTTGCTGTGAAACAAGTTCAGTGTCACTGTGAACATGTTCAGTGTCGCTATGAATCATGTTTAGTGTCATTGTGAATCATGTTCAGTGTCGCTGTGAATCATGTTTAGTGTCATTGTGAAACATGTTCAGTGTCACTGTGAATCATGTTCAGTGTCACTGTGAAACATGTTTAGTGTCACTGTGAATCATGTTTATTGTCACTGTGAATCATGTTCAGTGTCGCTGTGAAACATGTTTAGTGTCATTGTGAAACATGTTCAGTGTCACTGTGAAACATGTTCAGTGTCGCTGTGAAACATGTTCAGTGTCACTGTGAATCATGTTCAGTGTTGCTGTGAAACATGTTCAGTGCCACTGTGAAACATGTTCAGTGTCGCTGTGAAACATGTTCAATGTCAATGTGAATCATGTTTATTGTGACTGTGTATCATGTTAAGTGTCAATGTGAAACATGTTCAGTGTTGCTGTGAATCATGTTCAGTGTCAATGTGAAACATGTTTAGTGTCACTGTGAAACATGTTCAGTGTCGCTGTGAATCATGTTTAGTGTCACTGTGAATCATGTTCAGTGTCACTGTGAATCATGTTTAGTGTCGCTGTCTGAATCATGTTTAGTGTTGCTCTGAAACATATTAAGTGTCACTGTGAATCATGTTTAGTGTCGCTGTGAATCATGTTTAGTGTCGCTGTGAATCATTTTTAGTGTCCCTAAGAATCAAGTTTAGTG